CTGTTTCTTCTGGCCTGTAAGGCAATAATCCGGTCATCTGCGGGTGTGGTTCCTCGTGGACGACCACTACTAAACCCCCGGATAGCTGTTCTTGTAGTTTGAAATTGTCTCCAAAGTCGTGAAACGATGCTGTGAGCAATTTCGAACTCTGCAGCCACACTTGTCACACTGCGGCCTTCCTCCAACTTCCCAATTGGGGGGGGGGGGGGGGGGGGGGGGGGGGGGGGGGGGGGGGGGGGGGGGGGGGGGGGGGGGGGGGGGGGGGTGATTCGACCTCGGGTAAAAGCATCCAGATGTCGTCTAACAGATTGATTAATTCGCCATTTCTCGCTGAGGCAGCAACTCGGTGTGATTTTTAACTTCTATACGGCGTGCAATCTCTTTGCCAGAAATACTGATCTTACACCGACAACATGATTTATACTACTCAGAAACTCCCCCATTACGTCTACCTGCATACCTGCGTATGTGCTACCGTACATCACCTTACTTAATCTCCTGATTGGTCTTTCTGTCCGCTCTGCCTCTTCGTTCAGCTGATATGCTAATTTTTCGACCTCATCCTTAATTTTTGCGCACCAGTGTATGTGTGTGTGTGGCATCATCTCTTTTGGAACGGCGAGAGTTGTGCTCGAGAGAGGTACACCTCCGGATTCCAAACACTCGTGGGGCGCCATTTCGACCATTCTCATCTTCGCAGCCGAGATATTAATTACAAAATCTGAAAACGTTAATTTTCGCACTCATTTTTTCCGAGTGCCAACAGTCTCGCGCGATGGAGATAAAAATCTGCTTTATTTCGAGAAGTGTTCCCACGGCTCGCTTTCAAATCAGGCAACTTTCTTGTTTCGCATTAGGATAATTTAAAAGGTATGCTATTGTCATGTTAATTCTTTTATTTATATTGAGAAAAATGTTGTATTTCCTTAAATTTAAATCATGACGTCGTACGTATACGTATTAACCTGATGTGTCAAAAGTTTTTGTTTCCTGATTTGGCAACAAAAAATTATTTACGAATTGGTTGTTACTTAGAAAGAATGGGTTGATTTCATTCATACTGAATTTTTTTATACATTTCCTTTTCCTGTGTACATAGAACGTGTCAATTTTTCTTTGCCCGCAGCCCGGTAGTCTCTACATATAATAAAAGAAAGAGTCTATGTAGGAGCCAGTGCATCTCGAAGCGAATTTTTCAAAAATCGAATCGGATTTTATTTTATTATATCTTTTCGATTTTATCGCATCATTTTGAATTGTTTGATTCTTTTAGAAATGTGATTTTGGCAACAGTTTTTCATTCAATTGTATTCTGGACTGTTGGTTGTTGAAACTCAGCACCGTAGCCACTTGGAAAAATGAGGGCGAAAATTCTGTGCAGTTTTTAAATTTAATGTTTCTCTTGGATAATGAACGCTTGTTGAGAGAAAGCAACGGGAAGTTGGTTAATTTGTTTAATAGGATAATTAATATTTATATTAAGCGATATTGCTTATTTCATTGAAATTTTGTTATATGTAATACAATGTTTTTGTGTGTGATTTTTTTTTAGTTCAAAGGGGCTTTGTCCCTGAAAGACTATTGTTTTCGTTTTGTGATTTTACATCGATTCACTACAAACGGCGAATCGCTTTTTAAACTGTTGCCACAAAGTATTGTCGCCCTGTGTTATATTTAAAGAAATTAGATAATGAAAAATCTGCATTAAATGTACGTTTATTTCTTGCATTGTGATAAAACAACGGTACATAAAGCCATCGAATTTTGAATGACGTAATCCTTCTACGAATATGGGCATGTGGAAGACCAAATTTGAAATTTGGAATTTGTTTTATTATCGATTTCCTATTTTGTAAAACTTTAACGAATTTTTGATTAAAAAACTCAAGGATTTCAAAGCGAGCCATGGCAACGTTGATAGAAAAAACCGTTTTATCTCCAGCGCGTGATACTCTGTATCGGAAATTCTAACGGTATGCTCATTTTAAAACTATTTAGCAATATTGCTGTTGAACTGAATTTTATGGTTTAAGTGCGAAGAAAGTGATATTTAATAAATAAATGTAACACACAAAATGTTAAAAAAACGCCCCTTTGGACGTAATATAAAATCTGAAACATTTCAGATTTTTTATTTATTTATTTATTTATTTTTGATGAAGTTGTCCTGCAGAGTAAAATTCTGCGTAGTGTTCCCTTCAAGCAACTTCAGGTGCATTTAAAAATTAGACGAAGGCTGGCAGCGTAACTGCTAGTTTATAATAAAAGAAATAAATGGAATCATAGGTTAGGATAATAACAAAGCCTGTTAGCAGTGTTCGGGAAGTGATGCCGCCTAATTTAGTGCAAAGAGTAAATTCAATTTGAATAATTATTGAAACTGAGATAAAAGTTTTACCATGATCATAAGCACGATTCACGCGATACAATTCTAATGATTTTAAAATAAAAATGATTACTTTTATGGTCTTTGCATGCTTTGTATGTTATGTACGTCTGAGTACTAGTAAAGATGATAACTAAGTTAAACTATTAATGATATAATATCTAGTTATTACTAGATCAGCTTACAGTGATAGGAAAGGACTCGCTTCAGTTAGATTATAATTTTATTTTAATTAGTATTTTATTTCTCGTGTTAAATGTTTTATTTCAGTTATGCATTTGTAGGAAATAGATGCATTTGTAGCAACTGGTAGTGCTGTTTATAGTTTTACAGGCATAGAGATATGACTAAATGACGCGATTGTTATTGAAGAGAAAAGAGATAGAATGAAAAAAGCTGGGATTGAAAAGATGCTTGTAGCCAGGGTACGTAACTGGGGTAAGATGGAGAATTTCCTACGTTTGAACAATCCAATTAGTTTTTGCCAGACTGACAGTTAGTACTTTAGTATTCTGGTGTTTCAAGTTGTACCACTACAGCATTCCAATTAATGCGGGTTTTTTCCTACGAAAAAAAAAAGTGCCCTGCTGTTCGGACAGCCCTTGGGGAGTCTTCTGTAACGGAAGAGAATATTACAAACGTGGACTTTACAAGGTCCATGGTTCCAAGACGGGGAGTCTGGACTTACTGCGTTGCTGTGTTTCTGTTACTCGTTAAAAGAAAAGGAAAGGAAGATGTTTTGAGAGTTGGTAAGGAAAAGACACGTTCGCGTATTGTGGAGACTTTTTTATAAGTAAAAATACTATGACATTGTTCTCGAGTAACATGAAATTTAATTAAGTTTTTAAATAAAATTACAAAAGGCAACCTGTTTGATGCTTCTTTCATGCCAGAAGGTTAAGACGTCACAAGATTTTTTCTGTTGGTTCTTCTGATGTATAGTTAAGTAACTTGCAGGGATTATCACTTTTATCTATTATAGGAACTTATTGAGCAGCTAAGCGAATAATCGCTTAAATTCAGGAATAGAAATGTATACACAAGAAGGGTTAACTACTCTTTTTGCTCAAAATACAGATTGACAGATATCCCCTTTCTCAGGGAGTATAATAAAGCCTCCACTTAGGCTTAAACTCAGAAATATAAAAAATAAGAACTAACTAATGACTAACTAAAGAGATTTAGCCGAAGCTAACACAATTTCTAAGCTAGTTGGTTCCTAATATTAAATTAGCTAGCGAAGCTATCAAGGGCACGTAATACGGGAGCGTGTTAACAGCTTAGAGAGGTAGCCAAAAAGCAAACACGCGCTATTTGGGAAATCTGATTCTCTCTGTTCTAAGTCTGTGGAACTTCGACTTAAATATTACTCTACTTCTCATTTGCATTTAACGCGATTCTAAAACCTCGTTCTGGTAAGGAATTGTAAGCTGAACCTAGAAGAGACAGAAAAGTTAAATAAAACTAAAAATAACTGTTATAAGCTTAGGATATACATTAAAAACTTCTGATGTGCATTTAAGTAAATGTGACTAGTTGTACGGCTGTATAGATGGAGAGAAACTGACGTACAACTTGCAAATCCTATTTAGTTCTGTCCTTGTTATTATATCTTGTTATTAGATTATATTAATACTTATGACTGGAACTGTACAAAGCATTTCGATGCTGCTTTTGAGCTAATTAAAAATGTAGCTAACAGAAATTTCTTGCAGCTACTATGCTTTAAGTTTCAGATAGAAAATAAACATAAATTTGAGCTTTTCCTTTGTGCTGTCATGATTAGTATTGTTTATATACTTTTTGGTAATTATTTAGTAATAAAATTTCAAATTTAGCTTATTTTTTTTTAAAAAAATTTGCTAAAAAAATTCAGGTGGATCAGATGCTTTCAGATCGTGTATACTACCAACATGAAATTTGGATCTGAGACCATTATCATAAGCTACAGATTAGTTCATAGTATTGAACTTTTAATCTTCCACTTCTTAAAAGTTTCGATTTTTGTCTTTCGGCAGCGTTTTATGATTTAAAACGTTTCATTACCACAATGCCTAAAGGACTATTTCTAATATAACAAGTGTATAGTTACATCATTTGTTTGGAACTTGTTCAAGCAAAGGTATGATTTACATTTCAATGTTATATTTTACGCTTAATTCACATAATTTTTACAACTTCTTCATTCTTTGCGCATTTTAAATAAAAGATGAAAGAATAAGCAGCATGAAAATATGGTAAGAAATAAATGAAATTGTGATAAGTTTTAAAAATATTACAGTGATTCATAAAAATAGAAACGCAATAATGTATGTAGCTTTATGAATCATTATACTGCATCCTATAAAATTATTATTACATAATTTCTATGTTCTGAACTATGTGTATATAAAATATGACAGCTATGTACGCTAAAGTTGAATTATATGCTAGCGAAAATCTAATTTTTGAACAGTTGTCAAAAATGAAGAGATAAAATGCTGTAAATTGGATTTTGAATCCCATATGAGAAAGAAATGTACAAACTGAATCTTGATCTAAGTGTAAACAGGAAGGTATGATAAGGTTAACACATTCTCATAAAGTTTTCATATATGAAACCACACGAAACAAGTTAATTATAAGCACATAGCTTTATTAGGCTGAGACATATTCAGACTGCTTCTTTTATTTGCTTTTATACAAGTAACATTCACAGCTCAGCAAACATATAAAAAAACCAGTTTTTAATGACAACATCGATAAGACTATACAAAAGAAGAACTATACAAAAAAGTGTGAATTACAATGGTCAAGAAATGGAATTCTATCGGAGTTATAATATACATGTGGCAAACATAAACATTATTTATGCACTTCACAATTCTCATGGGAACATGAGATCACATAAATTATACTGGCTTTTAACGAGAATGCAACTCGTGTTAGCGGCTGACTTTAGCCGCTCTTTTTGCGTATCGAAACGAAAGCATAATTACAGGCATCTGGGTCAGGAATTATACATAAAAGGTAATAATTGAAAAGCTGTGGTAAAAGTCATGAGGAAGAAATGAATGATTGACTTAATAAATTTATCTTAAAGGCTTTCACAGTATCACAAATAACACTGAAAATGAATTTTGAGTACAGGGTTTCAGAGAATGCAAAGTGCAATTTTGTGAAGTAGCTGTGAAGTATTTTTTGTGCGAAATGGATTACAACTTCTTTTTATTTAATTCATTCACTAAAAAAGATAACGGAAAAATTAATAAATTACAAAAATTAATAAATACAATACGTGGTCAAGATTATCAGTTCTTTACCCCATAGGAAGAAGTCTAGTGGGTTGTGTCTAGCGGTTGTAGGATGGCTTATGGGCTATATAGGATAAGTCCATTTATGTAAATCTATCTTCCTGAAAATCGACGACTGAACTCATTTCGCACGTGATTCGAAAACTGGGGAGGTGCTTTATCTTGCTGAAAGAAGAACGTATCTGTTGCTGAACTGAACTGTTGCTTTCCATTTGCTCAATTTGAGAGAAAAAAAACCTCTAGCATGTCCTAACTAATTGAAATTGATACCGATTTCAACAAAGAAAAGAGGGTCATAAAACACATCCACATGATTTTTTTGAATGACTGGATTATATAAGAGATTTTGAAATCCTTTCCATACGATACATACTTCACAGACAGCTCATAAATTTCATTCTCTGAGAGCCTGTTAGCATCATCGGTCTAAAAGGTGTTCCATAAGCAAAGCATCACAGTGTATAATCTGCCAGTTCCAGGAGACGGGACACGTCCCCGTGCGATTGTTGACGATCGTCTAAAGAAGCCCAGACATCATACCACTTGACATTTACCTGTGTGATGATCGTTTGCACCTCTAATTCTTCATACAGATTCATCCACCGGGTTGGTAACCTCCGGAGAAAGTACCAAGTTCGGCAACTTTCTGTTCTGTTTTACGAAATCATTTATGTTATGCCGAGGAATTAACTGCTGTTTAGTGTCCTGAAGAAAGGATGACTTTTACCATTAGATTGACCCTACCATCGTCGAATATGTGTAACTGGAGTGGCAATTTCCAAATGAACGTGGTGTATTATAAACATAGGAAAGTAATTTTAAATACCTTTAGTAAGATTGTAAGTGATGCTGGATTTATGGAACATCTATATATAGTTCGATTTCCAAATTACATTTTCAGAAGGTCAAAAACACAATGAAATCAAAAATAATAGAAAATCATATTTAATACTACTCTAGAAGGAAACGTACAACGCTTTGTTATCACATACTACATCAAATTCCAAATGCGTTAAAATCCGTTTAGACGAGCATATTGAGGAAGAACAAAATTAGCAAAATAACACATGCGTGTAGCATTTACTGTTTGTCTTGTAGAGTTACACATTAGTTACATTATTAAGTTCCGTTGTTATAAAATAATTAACTGCGCTAGTTTTACCATTATGTCTGATTTATCAGCTACTTTAGAAATTTATTTTTGCCCAAATTAATTATTTATTTTTGGTTTTTTGTTCTGCAAAAAGAAAGAAAAAAGAAATTCAAATTCTAATCATCTGCTTAGAAATCCAATATTACATCACCTCACGAATGTGCAAAATTAAATTATTTTAAAATTTTAACCTGAAAGAAGTAATTCATTATATATCTTTGTAATATTGCTTAAGTAATCAAGGTATTATAATTTTTTACAAAGTAAAATAAATTCAAGGCAAAATTGGGTGTGGGTATTATTTAACACACAAAACACTTATTATGGACATTAATTATTTGCTTCATTACTTTCAAAATGTTAGTAACGTATACCTCATATATAAACCAGCAGACAATAAAATTCCTTTGAGCAATATAAATGCAATGCAATTTTAAAATAAGAATAGATTTATCTCATTTTAAAAATCACATCAGTGTCTTTCAGGATATTACGTAATAAGTTATGTGGCATACAAAATGTTTTACTGAAAAGTTGTGTTATCTCTGAGAAAACAACTATCTGATTGGCGTTACGTCGCTTATGTTTGCACTGATTTCGCATTAGGTTAAGGCGCCAGTACTTTTAAATAATTGAAAAAAATTAAAGCCGAATCCTTACACACATTTTAAAACAAACCCCATGTAAAAATTCGATCCAGTACTAAAGTTATGGTAAAAATTATTTCCGAAGATTTTACTATTCTAAGGTCCAGGAGTTTTATTTACATTTGCTATTTAGCAGATTTATCTTATTAAATCCCCTGAACTATACATAAAATGCTTGTGTATACAATTCATACGGATGTATCACTAACTATGATAGAAAAGTTAACTAATTAGAATATTTATCTATCTAATTTTTAATTTAAAAAAGAAATTTGCTTAGAGGATTTCTAGGTAATTTAAAATTTTTAGTTGAGATTTCATAAAAATGTGATTTTCTGGCTTACGTGCATGATTTTTCAGAACTGGCCGATTATAATTTCAAGAAATTTTGATTAATTATGTGAACACTAAATCGGGATAAAAGGACAAGTTATTATGCGTCTGACACAAAAATGGTTAAAATTATAATTAAATTAAAAATTACATGAAATTTCGAAAAACCTTACTTTTCATTATTTCAGTTAAATTATGGCGGTTAGGTATGCGAAACTTTGTAAACATATAGCTACGTATGCTTACAAACAATAACTTATAAATTTATATTTCTACATTTCTTTGTTAATATTAAGAAAATGGTGTTTGCTTACAGGATCTGAAGTCTGTAATCTTCAAGTCAAGATTTCTCAAAACTAAAATTTTCTGCTTGCGCGCAAGATTTCTCCAAAACCGTTAGTCAGAAAAAAAAAAAAAAAAAAAAAAACACTTTTGACCATTGATATAGTAAACTCTAAAACTTTTGACAATTGGTAAAAGCCCTAGAAATTATGTTTAGAAATGTTTAAAAATTACCTTTAATTTTATGTAAAACTAATTGATTTCGGAATCTCAAAAATAAAAAAAAAATTAAAAAAAAAAAAAATTTCTTTTTTAGAAAAATTATAATTCTGTTTTTTTTTTATAGTAGGTTATTTTGATTATACATAAGTTTCCTAATATGGGAAAAACATTATCTAAACATAACCATTTGTTTATTTATAATAGTGTACGAAGTACATATTACAATTTTATGTCGATGACGACGAAGGTATCATATTTTTATTGTATTAAAAGTATTTTAATAAATGGAACATAAAACAAAAGAGTAATTATAATATTCACGATATAGAAATAAGCATACAAAATTTCACGATCATAAACCAGTTAGTTATAAAGACATTTTGCTTTAAAATGTGTTATAGTTTTAGCGCATTTTGACATTTTAAAGGTACCTGACCCCTTAATATCTGCAAATTAAAATAAAAGGAAAGAAAAGAGTTTCTCATTTATATTATATTATAATGATATAAATTTTTAGCACCGACTGGCCATTTTTTGACTTATTGTTGAATGATAAAGAATTTGGATTGTTTACTGAAGGACAGTGACATTTTTACGGTAATTATGTGTATGCATATTTTCCTTCAAGCAACACAAAGAGATAGGCGTTACTATTCTTGGTTTTTTTTACCCCTCTGTATTTGTTTGCTGTTTAGACGCCTGAGCAATCAACAATAACAAATTTGGTGGTATGCCACAAAACAAATCTTCTCGCAAAATGTTGCTGACTATTGTAATTGCAGTTATTTAATCGTTTTTCTTCCCATTTTTTCCTCTTTTGTTTTGGTTTGCGTGTGTGTGTTTTGTTGATGGGATGATCGATTACACGGTCGTCCAGAAATGGGTGCAAATATGCAAAAGGAATTCTTTTGTGAAAAAATCGTTTGCAAATAAAACAAAGAATGCTAGTGAAACCTTGTTTTTAGTTTTAGAATATTATGAAAACACTTCAAAACAGGACTAATATTTAGGAAAGCGATACAATTAAAATGCATATAAAATCTCATTTATATGCATTTTCTCATTTTCATATTCTCATTTTATTTTGAAATAAATCTCAAATAGTAAGAAAATTAGGGACATTAATAGAACTTGACTTTTTTCTAAACAGAAACTAATATACTAATTTCATTAATGCTATTTTTAAAGACAGTTTCACATCTAAGGCCGACTTTGAAATACAGTCATATGAGGACAATGTATAAGAAACGTAAAAGCTATTTCTTCAATTCGGATTTTTCTGTCGTTACATTTTTAAAGGTATCTGATTTTTTAAATTTATGTTATGACTAAATATAAAATATTTTATGAATTTCTTTTTTCTTTTGCCTTTTTGAGCATTTTACAATTTTTGAGAAGCATCACATGGAAGTGAATTATTAGAAGTGAGTTAACCTGGATTATATATCCACACTTCCAGACAACTGCTTAACATGTACTTACATTACTTATAAAATTATGAAGAACATACATGGATTTTATGACATGCTGGAAATTATCTTTAGACTCCAAATTCGATAGAAAGAGTCTTCGTTTTTTATTTTCCTTAGAATTAACACTTAACTATCACAAAGAATATAAAGCACAAGAAAGGAACTTGGCAATCGAGAATTTATCACAATTTTTTATTCAGCGTAATGTTGAAATGAAACAAACATCACTTTCATCACATTCAATAAATAAATGTGAAAAGTTTGGAAGTCCAGTGTATACCACAAAGTTTTTTATTTTAAAGAAATTTCTAAAAGGTTTCTCTGATCTTATGACAGAAGTCTAAGACATGAAAATTCTATTCTAATTGAAATAACTAATTTATTTTTATCTAAAGATTCATGTTCAAAATATTGCGCCTTTTTGGTTTTGTAAAATATCTCTGAAAATACTCATTTTAATATGAAATATGAGCTTTACTAGCGAATGGTCGCATTAAATTTGGCTAAATTGAAGCAGAATTTAGCTCAGATAAATATTAAAAATGATCTAAAGCCTGCTATTTAGTTATTAACAGTAGAAATACAGTAGAACTATCCAATGCAGAACAATGGTTTGGTTGCCCAACATAATGTTTAACTTAATCACTACCTATGTGAAGTTTTCAAATGGAACATAATTTGGCATGGCAGCGACTTAATACAATTTCTCATTACACTGTGAAGACTTCTGTCTTACCACTCCTTCGTAAAATTTAGATTTAACTTTAGATTTAAATTTGAAATGATAATTGAATTTAAACTGGATATTCCCCCCTTTCCTTACTATCTCTTCTTATTAATTCTATCTCATTTTTTTTGGCAATGGATTTTTTAAAAATCTATGGTAGTCTAGAAATGTACGTTAATATACCTCTCCAGAAGTGTATTTGGGAGACGCTTATATATTTAAAAAAGCACTTATTATTTACAAAATTTGGAGGATATAAGTAAATATACGCAGTTGTGTAGTCGTTAAAAACACTTATTCTTTCCCTCTTTCTAAGCTGCTTAGGATCTTTTTGAACTGGATCAGAGTGGGTTCAAGTGAATGAAAAACATCCTTGCAAGATATGTACTCAGCAGGTTGCATTTTACAACTCTGTGAAAACAACAAGCTTACCGTTTTTATAAGAGCTAAAAATGTAAACGATATGCTTGTTTATTTCAATATCAAACCAAGTTTTCTAATTTTCTTTAATTTCAAATTTTTAATATCATTGCAAGTTGAGTATATGGCTCATTATCATTCAAACGCATTAAGTCTTCTTCGATTAAATATTTTTTATGTTACATTTTTATTATTCAAAAATTTTTCCCATGAGACTAGTAAAATCACGATTAATATCATGTAAAAATACTTCTTTGGCATTCAACATAAGGAGTTCTTTATTCCACTGTATTTCGAAGAAAAATTAATGTGAGCGCAATATATGTGTCTGCAAACCAAATTGCTGTAATCAATACATGCTCTTGAATCTGACTAAAACTGATTTCTTCCTATTTTCTAATTATTATTTCTACAAAATAATAATTCTTTAATATGAACATTAAAAGAATGCAGGAACCCGGAACTCTTATGATATATGATGGTCTGTATTTCAACATTACGCTAGGGGGCTAGCACACATTTAAGTCCAGGTAGCAAATACTTCGTTTATACACTGATATTTAGCTTCCATTTTTTTCCTGTTTTTTTTGGGGGGGGGAAGAATGCTATGGGAAATTTTCATTAAAATAATATAACTTAAAAACAATAATCTACATAAAATATCACGATAAAAATCATTCTTTACAATGTCACTTGAGTCAATAATATTTGCATAGAGAAACACTCGTAGACAACAATGTCACAGAAAAAGTATTGCGTTTCGCATTGCATAGGAAATAATGACGGCGCTTACAGAGTTTTTATAGTTATTATTGTTATTAATTTCGTTTTTTTTTTCCTTTTCCTTCAGTTTTCTTCCTTTTTCGTATCACATTATCACCAGCACTTGAAATCACAGATTACTTCATTAAGAAGAAAACATCTCCGTCTCATTCCCGTGGCTTAAGTACTTCTTTTCATCCATTCGAGAAAATTTTTTGGTTCTATTCTATTCTAATCCGCACTGGACTTCGTCGTCGCTCCCAACAGCAGGCGCGCTTGGTTATTCACTCTGAAAAACAAATAAATAAATAAGAAAACAATTAAAAAATACTGATCATAAATATATCTAGTTAAAGGTTTTATAAAATATTCTACCATTATGGAATTAATTTCTATTAATTTAAAATTAGAGAAAACAACAGCCTTATTTTGGTAAAAATATTTCGAGAGTGATCAGACACAGACTCCTCTTCATCAGAAGCATAAAAAAAAAAAAAAAAAAAAAAAAAAAAAAAAAAAAAAATGCGAAGTAGGAGAGGTGACGATAAAGTTTATACCGAAAGCCGTGGGCACAGTATAACGAACACAAACGTAGCGCCATCTGTTCACGAAACTAGAAATGAAACCCGAAAAATTAACGTATTAGAATTCCAAAAATTTAGGAAGGACTGGCTGGGAATTAATGGTATTTAATCGCAGAAGATAAATTTTTGTGAATGGGAGAACTTCAAGAAAATGCAAACAAACAAATGCCAAGCCATAAGCCATTGCCCTCTGGTCAATATTCGAAAAAGGATAGCAGCAATATTTGTACTAGATTTAGAATTATCTAGAGTGCACCCCGAGGAGGACTTTACACCCGTTTAAAGACATTTATGCCTTTTTCGGGATTCAAACCCAGGCCCGTTTGTCAGTTTGCTCGCCCCTATACGGGGTGGGCGATTCAAGAAAATCCAGTTCACGAACTGAAGGAAATTTATGGATAATTTTTCAAAGTCAAAATTGTGATTAAGCTTCCAACTATTGAATTGGCTTTCGAAGATTTGTTTATTTCTCCTTTTCAGGCATAAGCATGTTCCTTGACGGTAATTTTAACGCTGTTTTAATTTGGCCTATATATTTCAAACCACATTGACAAGATATGTAATAAATTGCTTAAAAATTAATGACAGAGATAAAGTTTTTTAAATCGAACCACGATCTTTTCCGATAGGTGAAAAGGTGATATGTTTGTCTTGAAAGTTCTACTGAAAAATCTGTGAAATTTTGCAAATGATAGAAGTGTGAAATGGAATGACAACAAGATTATTAATGTTATTTTTAACAGTCGCAGGTGCGAGAAACCCGAAGTTCACCATTGAACGCACAAGTGTAGTCCTACCATACAAACTGTGAAGCTCCGTCTCAAATTTGATGGAGAACGCCACCAAAAATGGTCCTAAGGTCTCTTCACCTCTTTCCCTACTATTTAACGACTCTAGATTTCAGCTCATTACTATTTTAAATGTCCTTATGCCGGAATATGTACTTACAAATACCCGTGACTTCTCCGGGGTTTAAGCCCGTGCCCATCGGTGTGGCAGCTAGCGCCGCCTAACCTCTATACCGATTAAGATAACTGTTGTTTCAAACAGCGGAATTTTTTAAAAGCTTCATCAGTGACCGAAGGAGAAAATCCTGTGTCAGTGACGATTGGTTTCAAATAGCTGAGTTTATTGGAAAATAAAGATTTTAACGAGCAAACTTCGAGAATGTGAAGTACATAATCGCATTCTCGTTAACTGATATTTATAATCGTAAGCGATGTACATAACCGATATACGTAATCGATAAGCAATATACATAATCGTAAATAGAAGCCTTTTTTGCTTCTTTTTGCTCTTTACTTTTACTTCTTCCTATTAATTACTACATATTTAATAGATTTAAAAAAAAATGAAATTTCACACATGAATTTACAAACAGGGCGCAAATGAACCAGCCAGACTTCGGTACTTCTTAGTTTTTAATAGAAATTTCAGTCCTAGTTGAAAGGTTCCGAATCGCCAAATAAGACGAACTCTGATAGTACTCTCTTGCATAATCGAAGCACGGTGGAAACAGAAAACTTCATTATTAGTCCAAAGGGGCTTTTTCCCTGAAGGACTATTGTTTTCGTTTTGCCATTTTGCTTTGGTTCACTATAAATGTCGGTTCACTTTTCAAACTGTTGCCACAAAATGTTAGAGTCCTGCATTATATTTGAAGAAATTAAATAATGAAAAATCTGCATAAATGTATGTATATTTCTCGTATTGTGATAAAACAACGGTACATAGAGTCATCGAATTTTGAATAACGTAATCCTCCAACGAATATGAGCATGTGGAAGACCAAATTTGAAATTTGAAATTTGTTTTATGATCGATTTCCTATTTTTTAAAACTTTGACGAATTTTTGATTACCAAACTCAAGGATTTCAAAGCGAGCAATGGCAACGTTGTACAGAAAAAAATATTTTTATCTCTAGCGCGCGAGACTCTGTAATGGAAGTTCTAAAGATATGCTCAATTTAAAACTACTTTGCTATTTTGCTCTTGAACTGAATTTTATGGTTTAAGTGCGAAGAATGTCATATTTAATAAATAAAGATAACAGACAAAATGTTAATAAACGCCCCTTTGGACGTAATTTAAAATCTGAAACCTTGCAGGTTTTTATCTTTTTTTTTTTTTTTCCTTTTTACAATATTCTATTGAGCTGTCACAAAAACTAATACTGATACTAGATACTAAATGAATGCCCCATTTTCCCTAGGAAAAGCAAATTACGCCGGAAAACTTAACACAGAACACCCCCTTCCCACACTGAAATGCGGTCCATACCGGAATGTTCTTGACAAGACGCGTACCGACTGTAAGCATCTGGCCAGGAAAACTTGAACACTATCTTGTTCAGAATTTAATTATTCAGAACATTTATCTCTGACTAAGTGAAGACAGCCCAAGAGACGACACATATTAATGCCTCAATAATGTAACTCCTACTTAAGGTTTAAAATAAACATTCCTATTAGTTTGTAGAGTCATTAGGTTTGTTTCGGAGCAGGAGACACGAAAAATCAGCAATGCTTTCGTGCTTTCGTTGGGACTTGAACTTCGGACATTGCCAGTAGGAAGTGTTTACAATCATGCTATGCAGGCAAACGGTGAGGAAGAAGAATATCCCTTTCATTTTGGTCCACTTGAAGGACGACCGGAAAGAGAATTTACTCGCCAAATCTAAGTGGGAACAAAATACTGTTCGCCAGGTTTATAGGTCTGAGGCCACTTGTAAAATTTCAGATTCTGGAGTAGGAAGCTTAAAGAATGACCATTGCCTTCGCCAAGGCTCTAAATCTGGAACTTCTGATTGCTAGCCGGACATACTTACTACGAAGATCACGGCTAACAAGAAAATTTTTATAAGTTCATCAGCCTTACCATACAAACTTGCGTAATAACGGAAATTAAATTCTGTAGCTTGCGGGGGTAAGAGAAAGAGAGCTTAAAGTAAAATTTAAAGCATTAAAATATGATATTTACGAAAAATATTTTGCACATGGGGGTTATAGGTCATACTTTCAACTTACGCTAGAAATTCTAACTACAATGTCTAAACATGATCCAAATAAGTCAGAAACTCGGGATGTACAGTAATGAAACAGACACTTAATGATGGCAAAAGCCTTCTTTTAAACTCAAGATCTCTGTCAAAAGTAGGAGGGGCAGTAGGGACAAAAATAATAAGATAACTGGTTAATAACCATAAAATCCTATAAATTGATCAAGAAGGCTTTAAATCAGGAGTTCTCAATCAGAAGCGAATTATCCCTTAGGAGAAATTTCAGTTTGCGAGGAATGTAGTCAACCTGTTATTTAGCTCCTAAAGAATGAAAGGTGAGAGGTGAAAAGAGTGAATGGGGCAAAAATGATTGAGAACCATTGCTTTAAATCAAAAGTCAGAACAACAAAATAGTTTTATCTGACTACGAAGTATATACTGTTTAAATACTTGTCCTTGTTTTATTTTTGATGTCACGTCTTATTAATAATTTTCTGTTGGTGATACTTTTTTTAATAATCTAATTTTTTGCTTTTTTTATTTTTATCATATTTAATTAATTTTTACTTATTATCAATGCTTGAATTTATTAACGTTCTTATTTATCTCCTTACATTTTATTTAATTTTAATTACTTTATAAATTGTTTTATTTACTGTTACATATTATTTATCATTTTTTCATTGTTCTTGATGGTTTTCCATAGAATCCCATCCCATTTAATTTGAGAAATAAAACTATGTTTTTCTTGACAAAGCAGATTTTTCTTAATAAATATATTGGAAAATATACATGAGACAGTTTAATACAACTTGCATGAAAAATTCGTAACCTAGAAACATCCAAAAAGTTGATTTCATTTAGCCTTCTAAAAGGATGTCAAAGGGTCAAAATTCTAACTAGTAAACAATCCTATAATGTCAGCCGCAATTCACCGTTTCGCATTTTTCATTTTTGAAATACTAACGCAAGCAGCCAATTAACCTTCTTCACTCCTAAGACTCTTATACCTTGCAAATGGCCTTTATGTTCTTGTTCATGGGATAAAGACTACGAATTAATGTTTACTTGAATGGTGCTGCCATCTAGGAATGAGTTTGGATATTATTTCTTTCTTACGTTAATTTAATTTAATTAATGAGTTGGGTTAAGTTGTGTATTCCAGCGCTGGATTGCATGCGAGCTACTGGGAGCCGCCAATGCTGCTAGTTTAATGAGGCGCTAACAACAAAAAATTTAATTTAGAAACCCTTTTCTCTGGTATTGATATTAGATGCCGCAAGCGAGAAAATATGACAGTTCAGAGTTTGCTGATTATTCTATTTATAACTAATTTGTGAACTTAAAATGAATGCCGTGATCAGTAACTTACGAATTTCGTACACAAAACTAGAAATTTGAATTTTTTTTTCTGTAAAAGAGGAAAAGTGTTACCAAAAGAAACATTTTATATAAAAAACTGTATTGATTCTGAAACACGCAATTTACTATCGACTGAGAAATATGCAATCTATCCTTTCATGGCGAGCATATCTGTGGACGAACACATTTGAAAGTGACCAAGATTTCGGAAAAACAATAAGTATAGGTGTACGATAATTATTTACGTGATTTATTTAGTATTTAAATAGTGGGCTTATTCCACATTGCATGAAGACCTCCTTCATTTCATTCTCAATTTCATTTACGAAAATACCCGATTATGA